GCTTGTGTTCATTTCCTAAAGACAATAATTTGTTATCATGCACTACTGAGTTACTTCTGTTCATTTCCTAAAGACAATATCGGTAGTGCGGAAATGAACACAAGCTAATTTGCTGTCATTAAAGACAATATCAGTAGTGCATGATAACAAAGTAGCTTGTGTTCATTTTCTAACGACAATGTCAGTAAAGCATGATAACAAAGTTGCTCGTGTTCATTTCCTAAAGACAATATCGGTAGTGCATGACAACAAAGTTGCTTGTGTTTCATTTCCTAAAGACAATATCGGTAGTGCATGATAACAAAGTTGCTTGTGTTCATTTTCTAACGACAATGTCAGTAAAGCATGATAACAAAGTTGCTTGTGTTCATTTCCTAAAGACAATATCGGTAGTGCTTGATAACAAAGTTGCTTGTGTTCATTTCTCAAAAACAATATCAGTAGTGCATGATTACAAAGCTGCTTGTGTTCATTTCTTGAAGACAATATCGGTAGTTGCATGATAACAAAGGTGCTTGTGTTCATTTCCTAAAGACAACGCTGCTTAATTTTGTTTTGCTGCACTCTAACTGGATAATTTTCAACAATTCAAAGTTTATCGTCATCAGCAACTTTATATTAATTATAGTTCGCGACCTCCTGAAACACTTGTCCTTTTTCATAACTTCACTTTGTGGTTGAGGGTAGTCACCCAGAATAAGTTTTAATACTATTTCGCTGTTTATAGTGTTTTTCAACTTCTAACGAAAACACTGAAAGTTTCCTTCTTCATAATGTTTAGTCATTTAGCTTTCTTCTTTTAGGAATCTCTTTTTACAAATATTTCTTTTTAAAAATGTATATATATATGTAGTTTCTAAACACGTTGCCTATAGCAACAGGACTCGTAACTACTTTCACACTCTACTGTATTTGTGAATCTTGTGTAGTTGAACAGATCTATCTATGAATTGGGATGTTAAAATACATTTAATTCGGATGTGCTAATGTCTTGACTGTTGCATATTTTAGAATACAAACCAGGAGATAAGAAAGATGACGAAAGGGTGACTAAACCAGAACATTTCGAACAACTTGAGAATAAAGAAATCAAAGCAGACTGTGAACTGATTGTCTCTGATAAAGATCTGAACATATTTTATCAGGGGAAGCCTGTAGGAAATGGTCATCACGTTAAGCATGGAGATGACATTATGTTATCTTGTCTCCACGGAAAAGCTGTAAACCATCAGCCTGTCATTAAGAAATTGACTTGTCATAATGGTCAGTGGAATAAGGAGATTCCATCCTGCCATTTTGACTCTGGTGAGTTTAAATATATATATAGAAAGAATCATATTTCTAATCCTCAACACAACATGATCATCCAGCACTGTTTCTACTTCCATCAGTATAGTATTATGATAAGACATACATCACTAAGTATGTTTACCATTCTTATTCAGAGACAATTTTCCGGAAAACCTTATAACAGTTCTTATTATTACATTTTAAAATAATACGAATGTGACATCCTAATTCCTTTGTGATTTAGTAACGAATAAAATACTGTGTACATGTTCTTATAGCATTGCCCCCAGTGGCACAGCGGTATGTCTGCGGACTTACAACGCTAGAATCCGGGTTTTGATACCAGTGTTGGACAGAGCACAGATAGCCCATTGTATAGCTTTGTGGGTAATTACAAACAAACAAAACCTATAGCATTATGCTTCATTTTTTACTTAATGAAACAAAACATTACCGACGACAAAATTATTTGTATACCATTTTTCACCTGCACATTTAAAATAATTACACTTAATTTGATTATTGTTCTCAGTAGTTTGATCATTGGGGAAAGGAACATATTATTGCTTGTTGTTAAATGTCAAAGGTACACAATGTCGTGAAATCTGCCACGAACTACACTAACAGTGTCTAACCACGTCGCCTGTGTCATTAAGACTGCTTTGCCACGCGACTTATTTTGAATATTATTTTGTTAAAGTAATTTTTTTTGTTTAGTTTCTAGTTGTTTGTAGTTAAGGACAGAGCTACACAATATACTGTTCCCACCACGGGGATTGAAACCCGGGTTTTAACGTTATAAGTCTCCAGACTTACCGCTGTGCCACAAGAGAACTATGATCATTCAATCTTGTTTTTTTGTTTGTCTTAGAGCAAAGCCACATTGAGCTATCTGCTCTGTTCACCGCGGAGAATCGAACCCCGGATTTCAGCATTGTAAATACGTAAACTTACCGGTGTCCCATAGGGGGACTTAATTCAATCTATGAAATGGGATATTAAAATTCATTCACTAGCCCTGATGGTGGTAACTGTGTTACTGAAGCTAGTCAGCTGTAACAGCTAATAAGGCATTTATCTTTCATTGTGCCAAGAAACATCGTTTTTGTTTTTTACTCATAATATGTCGAAACATATTTAAAAAGTAACCGTAATGAGGTGCTGGGAAAATTATATTGTTTATGTATGTGTTGCAACGTATCCTCAGGTCATAGAAGGCTGAAAGTTATATTGGTGGAGGCTTAATAGATCATTTTAAAAATCACGATAGACACTAGAAGTATTTTTCTTAATATGCCCTTCAAATCAGAGGTATTAAAAATAACATTTTTAGATCTATCTTTTGTCTGCCGCTGTCCAGGAGGCTGTTCGTTGAATCTATAACGGATCATAGAAGGGATTACTTTATAATTATTTTTGAAGTGTACTTGTCACCATAACTCGCTTATAACAGCTGAGAACCAATTTTTGTCCATAATCTTAGACGGAATGGCATTTTGTAGAGGCCTAAGTGAAGTCCGTACAGGCTGTTATTGTGGAGAAAGGTGGGCCAACTATATGATAAAACAATCGGGGGCCATAATAAAGCGGGTTGTAGGTATATTTTGAACCACTCTTTGATTGTAACTACATCGTTTTGTTGTTTTTGTAGGATTCAAATTAAAAGTGGGGGGTCAAGATTTATTTGACCGAGCGAAGAGAGGGAATGTGCCCCACAGACGCATCCATTGCGGCCTAGGTCTCTGGAAGCTCTTGGGTTCTGGGTTAAACATTATGTATTCTCCTGATTTTCCTGAAAGTAATTTTCCTAATTTGAATGTATTATTACTAGAACAGATTGAAAAGTGAGGGCCGATCCCCACCCCCACCGCTTCCTACGCCACTGATAGAGAAAATAATATGAAAACGGTTGAACCCGTATATAAAAGGATATCAACACTTAATAATGTCAAAATGTTGTTCTTATACACACCGTTTCACCGCGCCACTATATATTGGCTAAAGTTGTCACGTAACTTCCTGATTATTAATGTCAAAATATTGTTTTGATACATACCGTTCCACCGCGCGACTTTATATCAGCTGTGGTTGTCACGTGACTTACTTATTTGCATGTCACGAAACCTTTTAATGTAACGTACTCGACCTTATCTACAGGATACAGTTTTGATTCATCAGAACTGATATCCGACATCGTTTCTATATCTTCCAGAATCCCAGTGTACCATACACAAGCTTTATGAGATATTACCCTCAGAAGTACTTCCAAAGTCTAACAAAGCTCACTACGAGAGAGGCGAGGAAGTTGAGGTTTACTGTTATAAACCAGGTTATTTTATTTCGGGCCAGAAGACTGTGTGGTGTTCATCAGAGGGGTATTGGCATCCGTCTGATTTGAAATGTAAGTACTCGTATTATGCTGAAATATACCAGAAATAAACCAGGTTATTTTATTTTGGAACAGAAGACTGTGTGGTGTTCATCAGAGGGGTATTGGCATCCGTCTGATTTGAAATGTAAGTACTCGTATTGTGCTGAAATATACCAGAAATAACAGTAAAACAAATAATTGAATTATCTTTTGATATTATAAAGTCAACTGAAAATGTGTATAATGATTATTTATTGTGTAAAGTATGGAACAAATTGAGTTGAGTGAAACTTATGTAGAACACAAATCATAAGATAATTCGATCTCCTTACGTTTGTGCTTTATTAGTAGTAGAACTAAGTTCATTAATTTTGTTGTTGTTGTTGTACAAAAATATTTGAAATAAATTATGTTCATCAAATACCATGTCATACCTGATCTAAAAAATTGTCTTTTTGGCACTTGTAGCAATATAGCCAGAGAGCAATCAGAATATTGTGTAGCGAACAGTCGCTGCTATTATTTTTCATATAAATATCAAAATTGAGATTAAACATTTTATAAATAACTTTTATATTATGTGCAGAGCTGTATTTGTCTTTCTGCTTTCGGAACGAAGTGTTCCTCAGGGCCACCACGAACACCTGATGATGATCTGCGCTATCAGTCTAAAAAACCCTCCCTTAAAGAATCCTCAGAACATGTTAAGCAAATCTGTTAAAATGCCTTTAAACTGTGAGAAAAAAAGTGTGTTTATTTGATTAGCAAAAGAAACTTCTTACTTGCGAATGTTATTTAAGCATAAATAGTTCTAGAGATGGTCTTCGTACATTGATAATTATCGTTTCTTAACTCTTTGTTGTTGTGTTTTTCGACACACACGGTGATTTACCCTAATTCTTTTATAAATAGGTTTGTGTTTATTTGCAATTTATATTGTTTATCTGACTCCAAATAAGACATATGTTGTTGTCCCTCTTATTCAGGTAAGACATACAATGTTGAATGTGAGTACTAAAAGTAAAGACTTCATATAATCTTTAAAGATGAATTTGTTTACAAGAGAAATATTTCTGTTTTAATATCAAATTTCAGTATGTTCAGCAAATATGATATTATTGACAAATCAATAGAATTAATGAAAAATACTGTATAGACTATTCTTAACTTACTCAGAGAAGAGCAGCTTGGCTCAGTGGCTTTGGACTTATAGTTGGATGGTGGTGAGTTCGAAGCTGGCCCGCGTCGTATTGTTGTGTTCTTGAACAAGACACGTTACCCCACTTGTACCAATCTAACCAGCTCTTAGCTGGGGAGGGGGACTGCTGGAATATGCCATCATTTTCATCCGCTTGTGCCAAATAATCAGGAGTTCAGCACCGGATCGAATGTGCCATCTCGGCATGGGAGAAATTCAACTAAGTTACTTAGAAAGCAGTTGTGACTGTAAAATGCCACCAGTAGTTGATCAGTTACGTTAGGAGTTTTTGTATTTTTTACATCCAGTTCCCACACCCTGCACCCTCCTACCTAACCTTAAGGTTTCTTCTTCTTGTTTTGACATCAAAAATCGCTTCAAAATGTTTTGGATTGATAGTGGGGTAAAATTGTTATTTTACAAGTTAGAAAAAATTCTTTAATATTTCCAGTATCTATATGTACCATTTAATGTATTTCACGTCTCTCTCACCAGGTGAACAAGGATGTAAGTTCCTCGAACCAGAACCTACTTCTACAGTCATTATCTCAAACCCTAAACCTTACTATCGTTTTGGTGAAAAAATGGTTTTAGCGTGCCCAGAAGGTCAATATCTTGAAAATGGAATACACACTATTGTGTGCTTGTCACCCATTTGGTCAGATACGTTTCTTCCCAGTTGCCTTAACATAGAAGACCTCGGCGTTATAAACAAGAATACAAGACAAGGAAAGGTTAACATTCAATAATCGCCTTTGTTTCTACGTCCACTTTCTTTTCTAAACATGAACCCGAGTAAAGGTCGACAGTCACGAAAATAGAAAGTGAAATAAATATAATATCTTGAAATGTTTCTCATTACATTCGACAGTAATGACAAACTTATAGGACATCCACTTGTAAATTGTCTGTAGGTTTATACGTTGAAATGAGTGTTAATTCTCAAATTTCACAGTGAATACCTTTCATGAATGTTTAAGAAGTGTTATGAAAAGGCTTGAAAGATAAATCTTTTTTTTTTCTTAAGAAATAATAAATAAAAGTTGAAGCCACAAAAAACACTTCATGAACGTATCTACGAAATTATAGTGTGTGTGTGGGTGGGGGGGGAGTTAGTAAATACATTATATGCGTCATATATGTACTTTACATAATGTATACTTTGGATAACTACAAACTTGGGTAAATATCTATTTCCTAAAAATTACATATTTTGGATATTTGAATTCACAATTCGTAACATATTAATTTTACGTTTACTTGAATTTCTACATATAAAGAAATCAGAGAGTTGAAACCCTCCCAATCCCGACCATATCCAGCTGCACCAATGTACTTATAAAAATAGTATAAATCTTTATATATATATTTTTTTTTAATACAAAAGTTGATTTACCTTATAAATATGTATGTTTTAGAGCAAAACCACATGGAACTATCTGCTGTGTCCACCACGGGGAATTGAGCCCCGGATTTTAGAATTGTATGTTTATAGATTTACCGCTGTCTTACCGGGGGACTTAGCTTACAGTGCTTTGTTGATAATTTAAATACGTGAAAATGTGATCCCTGTCTTTGAAGTAATGTAATTATTGACAAATTAACGAATAAAAAGTTGAAAATACCTAATATAAATGCTCAAACGTTTGATAAAATTCTAAAGCTTATAATACAAATATAAACACATTTTCTTTTCTCATTTTAAAAACTTATTTCTGATATTCTTTGAGTACATGTATAAAACTTATTTCTGATATTCTTTGAGTACATGTATAAAACTTATTTCTGATATTCTTTGAGAACATGTATAAAACTTATTTCTGATATTCTTTGAGAACATGTATAAAACTTATTTCTGATATTTTTTGAGTACATGTATAAAACTTATTTCTGATATTCTTTGAATACATGTATAAAACTTATTTCTGATATTCTTTGAGAACATGTATAAAACTTATTTCTGATATTCTCTGAGTACATGTATAAAACTTATTTCTGATATTCTTTGAGTACATGTATAAAACTTATCTCTGATATTGTTGTTTGAGTATAGCTATTAAACTCATTACAGATATTCTAGTTTGAGTATGTGTTAGTATTATCATGGTAAACTGATTATTAGACAGGTCTGCTTTATAACTGTAGATTCGTGCACAATAATTACAAAGTAAAACTAAATTTAACTAAATAACTGGGTTTAACATAAGAAAATGAATACACTGGATATGTGGTGTAAAGCCAGCTTTATTTAAAGTACTAAGCAAAAACAGTGTTCTTATACATTGGACAGTCACAACAACCGTCATTATCTAACTGGTTGTTCTCTTACAATGTATAGAAGCTGTAACTTATAGATATCATCTACTTGGCCAGTGATGTCGATGAACTGCACAATGTGTGAAGTTGCAGCAAAATCCTTGGGGGCAAAGTAGATGTTATCTACTAGAGAGCATAAAAAAAAACTCAGGTAACTAGAATGAATCATATTAAACAAAAATTAAAATAAAATTCTATATGAATATGGTAGAAAATTAATGATACGCCTACATATCACACTTCCCCTCATCTCTGTTTAACTTTTTCTTCAAGCCAACAAATTAACTTTAAGACAAAGTTTAAGCTTGAGTCAAAATATGCGTTGATTTTCGCTCGTTCCTAAAAAAGATTACAAGCCATATGAGCAACACAACCATTAAGGTAGCATATTCCTTTTAACTGTTAAAAAATATCACAATTTATTTTGAATTAATTTTCAGAGTTTTTCTTAGTTCAGACTCATTCTTCAGATCCCATCAAAGTCTGGACCCATTTTCAGGAGCACTCAGTCATGTTTGTCGAAGTTATCAGGAACATAAGACATTTCTTTTCTATTTCTTTATTTTTATAATATGCAAATTAGCCACTGTGGTAATGTTACACAACATGTGCTAGAATATGTCTTTGTATATATTTCAATATATTTTCATACAAAAAGCATAGTATGAAGATTTTTTTTTCTGACAAAGGGTATATCTACCTTCAACAAAGAATTACACTCAAATGCATAAAACAGTCCTTTAAGTATATTTTGAAATCACAATAAATAATAACAATGCATGAGAAGATAATAAAACCTTTAGTGAATAACATTATTTTTTAAACTATAATAAGAAGAAAAGATTAACTAAAATGAATATTAATACATTACATTATAACATCATTATTAAAATAACAACCCTCTTTAGTTAGTAACAAAACGAATACAAAACATCTTTGAATAGCTAATACAAAACAAAACCTTTAAACAATAAACTAATACATGTGTATACAAAAAAATCTAACAATGAAAGGTACATCAGACAAAATACCTTTCACCAAATACTATACTTTCTCACCTTCGGTGACTTCCCAATATCTATTCCTCTGAATCACTCACTTTTTGTAAATCCTAAATCTGCCTCTGTAGTTTACAAAAAAAATGTAGAGGGCAATGTGTCTTCCTATTTCAGTCACATGTTACCTATACCAATCAACACCGTAACTCACTCTCCTACAATCTGTCCTATCTTTATTAATCAAGACTTTCCATGAAACAACGAGAAAAAATATACCAACCTACCAAAAGTGTTTTCATTTCAGGTATATCTTGTGTGGGAACAATACTTTCCTTTTTTCAGAGGTTACAGCTTCCCCCAGTTTTTGGGTCTACTAATATTACAATCTTATCCTTAACAGTTGACATTACAGCCATGCCATTCCATTCACTTACAGTTTTGGTTATTCGAATAACACACATTAGGTATATGATTAACAGGATCATCCATCAGCCACGAATAAAAATGACGACAAAGAACTGGTAACTATTACTGCCATTGGAATAATAAAGTTTGCAGCAAAGAATCTGTGGTAATGCCGTATTATTCACAGGTTTCGTGATTCTGATTTTCCTTTTGTTTCGTTATTAGCCTCTATTTTTTATTTTATTTACAGCATGTTTTCACCTTTTAAACCTACATAATGTGTTCATATTGCCTGAGGAAAGGAATATCTATCATCTGGATTCCACCTGTTTGCGTGATCAAACCTTTGAACAACATTAATGTCCTCATTTAACTGCTCATCAGCTACCATTTTACTCCTACTCAAAACTTCACTGGAGGTTGGTGGCCTAGACTTCATATTTCACTACTTTCACACACTCTTAATACTTTTCAGAGGTCAATAGTTTTGAAAACTAGATTTCCACAGTCCTGTTCACATGTCTTGACTGTCACATCTTCTTATTTTACTCAAACTACAAACCCCTATTTTGGCTCCATACTGTTACCTAGAAATATATTTGGTGGAGTCAAAATAGGGATTTGTAGTTTTAGTAAATAGTATCTCCAGCCTTGTTTCCTTTGTTTTTTACGATCCCTATTTGCAGGTTTTTAAATTCCCCATTTGTTATATATCTTGTTTGCTGGCTTTTTTATGCTCAACTATGGTGGCTAACTTTATCCATTGTAATTATAATAAACATAGCTAGTAGCTAGCCGATACGATTCATTATAATTTACTATAGCTATTGACTACTTCATCGCATCAGTTCTGAATGCAAAATGTTAAGCTGCAGCTAGAGATTGTCATGGAGATTTGTTTGAGAATATAGTGAGCACTTATAGTTTTTGTGTAACTAAATCCTCTATATATAATGCATGGCAATGGGTAAATATACGGCTAAACTAAGACACCACTCCCACCAAGTGCAAATAAAACTTATCAGTAGAAAAGCAGCCTTTCAAATAAAACATCACTTCAAATAAACCTTCGTCTTTTAAAGTAATTATTCTACGAATGTGTGTTATAAAATGTAATATTATTTGTATTGATTTTTTTATTTCTTCACTTCATACAGAATATAGGGATTGGCTCCCTAAAGACACCGATTGTATAGTGTACAAAGCATTGGGTATCTGGGATCTGGATATGTATGTTTGTTTGTAATTAAGCACAAAGCTACACAATGGGCAATCTGTGCTCTGCCCACCACGGATATCGAAACCCGGATTCTAGCGTTGTAAGTCCACAGACATACCGCTGTGCCACTGGGGGGCCTGGATATGTCATTACTGCCACATCGTTACTAGGACAACTTGTGACGGGTGCATTCTTGTTAAATTATTTTTGTGACATGGCAGTTTTTGTTGCGAATACTGATTTTGTGACAGGTAGTTTTTTAAATATAAAATTGACTGGTGACAATAATAAAAAAGATAATAGATCATAAAATGTACAATAATTTGGGGATCATTTAAAAATTACATAACGCTTGGGGGGTGTCTAAGCCCTGTATTAGGATGTGTTACAGGGAGTAGGGGGTGTCTTGAACAGTGTCAAATAAAACATAAATTACAGTGCAAACGATTTAAGTCTACAAAAACATTTATTGTAATTTATCATACTTTAATTTGAATTCAAAACATCTTCAATAACTTGAACATTTGCAAACACAACATATGTATCATTTTTGCGTAATATTTGTTTAGAGAGGGGGGAGGTGGTGCCCTCCGGTACTTAAATTAGGTAGTGGTGAATCTAGTAACAAAATTCACCTATCACAAAATAAAACACTTGTAACGAAACCTAATAACTTAGATGCTATAACGAAATGTTTTGCATAACAAAAAGTCCACGTCACAAGCTGTCCATAATGAAATGTCCCAGACTCTGAGTATCTAGATGTTACAGTCGTCTAATGTTCATTTATTATTGGCTGGTAATCCCGGTTTCACCTTGTAACTAAGCCTTTTAAATGAACACCATGTTTGTAAGAAAGATAACTTCAAGAGGTAATGATAACATCGTTTATGATGTTTCTTAGCTTATGTAAAATATAGGAGAAACAAATCGACTTTTCAATACCCCTACGACCTTCGCAGTACCTTAGTTAGTTTTCAACAAAAGGTTTGAGTGCAATATACCAAACCGTTTTTGCTGTACGCTGGCAAAATAAATAATATGAACAATTGAGCAGTTTTGGGAGGATTTTAGATTCGTCCTAAGTATCGGATAGTTTATTTCTTTATAAATTTTTTGTTGTGTATTGCAAAGGAAGAGTGCTGTTTCGGGAACGAGTTTGTTTTCTAAGGTGGTTTTCGCCGTGTGCTCTATTAGTGTATTTCGTCAAAATCCGGTCGATCCCTATTATGAACCACTATAGTGGTTCATGATTTGTTTCATGCGGTTTTTCTTCTATCTTGCTTCAAAAACTGTCAAGCCATTAGTTCTTCCTCGTTTGCCGTTGTTAAGCACAATGAGCTATCTGTACTGTGTTCACCATGAGTATTGAAACCCGGTTTTTGTGTTATAAGCCTTCAAACTTACTACTGAGCCGCCAGGAAGGGGGGGGGGCGTGTTCCTTGAGACTGCTCCTCTTCATTATGATACATTCCTATTTTCTTCAAGAAACAGTTGCTTCTATACTACGGAATTGTTATTCACTTTGTCATAATGACATCTATTCACCTATACTTGAAATTCATCTTAATGCTTTGGCTTGTAGTAGCTCCCACATACATATATATAATCAAAATATTATAAATTTATGTAAACAGTGAACGTAGCTTAGCTGTAAATGGGAAGGATGTTGGAACGAGCACACCTATTTTACTTATAGAGTGATGTCTGTGAATTGTTATCAAATGACATTTGGTTTCAATGTTTTTCTATAATGGCTACAGTATTTGGGAACTTTGAGTCACAAGACTTTTATATGCTTAAGTGAATGGCGCTAGTTGGTCATGCTACTAATAAGTTAGAATCACACAGTTGTGTGAACATAATGACCATAATCTCTCTTGTATATGAAATTTATTTTAACGTAAATTTATTGAAAAAGTAAATAACTATATATATATCTGTATATCTTACCAACATGCCAAAATTCATGGTATACTGGTGGTGTGAGATAGCCAAAATATATATCTTATTAATTCCATCTCTAACACACACATTGAGTATTTTATATCTGCAACAACAGATATTTAATTCGTTTCAGAAACACTGTGTAAGTTTTGTAGTGCATGATAAAATTAGTGGTGTGAAAGATTATTCACTTAGTCTTCACATATCTGTAGACATAAAGTGCCTTCTTAACTTTTTAGTTTTCAATCCTATTTAATATTTTATTCTTTCCATCTGGTACACTAAAATGAAACCTTTGAGTAAAGCACAGAAGATGTAATTTTAAATACAATATTTTATTAAGAGAATATTTAAATTTCACTACTTTGGAAACTTTTATGATCTGTACCTATCTGTTATACAACTCAAACATCAATCAAACTCTAAGGACGTTATATGAACATCTTACACCTGAGCTCTGTTATATAGCCACTTTCTTTACTGTTGGAGTTAACAATTGTCATTTTTCACTCTTCAACTCTCTTATATAGTTATGTCTTACTTCTATATCTTACACCCTAAAACAAACCATGTTTGGGTTGCCCTCAGCTTTACAGGCAGACACAGTAAATAAAAGTTTCAAATCCAAATATTATTTTGAATTAATCAAATATACAATCTATTTTCTGTAGAAATTTCATATAATTTATGGTACTTGTGATCTTGGAAATTTGTAGCTAATAGGCTTAAATGTTTTAGGCCCAATAATTGTTAGAATGACCTTATGGTACTGTTTTCTTTCACAGTTAAAATGAACAATATATTGATACTTAAATAAAGAAATAAAGTGAGTTCTACGTGCAGATTATAAATGTTTTGAGAAAATTACAACTTTCAGTAGGTTTTGGGTTGCAGTATTTACCTAAATATATGTATATACTTAACATTCTTCTGTTCTATGCAAATATGTAATACAAATAGGTCTACATTGTCTAAACAGTTATAAACTTAGTCACTGAGTTCTTGAATTATTTTTATTTTCTTCAATTCTTTTACAGTGTAAAGAATATAAATACATGTTATTAAAACAAATTAATTTCACAAGTAAGTACTTAATTTTCTAGTAAAATGGACGGAGAAACCATTCTCTACTGCAAGTACTTTGTTATTTTACCTATAGTACACTAAAACACTTGTTGTTAAAATCACATTTTTACAATACTAGTACTATACACATCTGTTACAATCAAGCTAGAACTGGCAAACTGTTATATGACATGGACACTAGGTGATATACATATATTAAAGCTGGTTATTTGAGGCAATATATATAATTAAAAAAAAAACTTGAAAATTTGTTAACATAACTTTTAAGAGAAGCAACAAACTATAAAAGAAGAAAAAAACTAGTTTTAGAAGGCTATATCTTAATATGCATGTCCATCACATACATATGACAATTACCTAAAAACAAAAACCCACATTTACAAAGAAGTGTCTGTATTAAAAGAAAAATAAAACTACATTTACTGGACACAATAAAAGATAAATTCTTTATTGGTTGTTTCAGCCAACAAGGTTCAGTAACACAGTAACCATAATCAAGGCTTGTGAATATTTGTAGGAAAGGGTTATGAAGAAAAGAGGAGATAAGAACTATAATTAAAGATTCAGTTGAACAAATTAGTGAATTAGAAAGAGGAGAAGAAAAAAACAATTAAGTCTCAATATTGTAACATTACCTTCACCTGTAAAAAGAACTTGTCACAAAAAGAATTAAATCAAGAACAGAAATATGTCTCATAACTTGGCCTGAACTGTATCTCACCAAAAGAAAACCCTATAAATAACACTATGACAATTTTTTACAATCGGTCTTATTGTGATGTAACATCGCACAAACTACCAATCAGCAGATTGTGCTTTGCCAACACAAAGCATTACATACAATGATAATAGGAGTACACACATCCTGATGAAGGTGAAGCACCAAACAATGTTAGTAGAGATACTGATTCTAAGTTTGTAGTATTTACTGAAGAATGACAACAGAAGTGTTTGTAAGATACCAAAAAATATAGAACAAAACCAAAGAATTTAAAAAGTTAAAATTAAAACTCACAAAACAATATAACATGAGTGAATACTGTGATGAATACCTTTCTTCTTCAGGTGATTAATTTTTCAAATTTACCACAAGGATTCATGCCATACACATATCTACACTGCAAAATGTACAGTAAATATTTTAAGGAAACTTGCAACTGTCTTGTTTATTAGATGAGTCAACAGCACACGTATGAGTTTGTGCACACATGCAGGTTTGTACCATCTGCCACGCCAAGCACCAGACATGCACACTAGCCATACTACACGTTCTCCCGGCAGACTGAGGGAGGGAAATCCCGGTATACAGATGGGGAGTGTCACTCTAAAACTTATATATCCAAGCAATAAATTCTTAGGTAGCCAATTAGTGAAACACATTTTGTGGCTCTACTGTTTTGTCTTATTAGAAATTAACTGTTGGTGAAATGAGTTGTTACCCTTGGGAATGACTACAAAACAATTGCCAAGTTCCATATTTAGTACCCTGGATATAAAGGCTAAATTAGCTATCCTTCAGAATTCTTACATTTGTGGGTTTTAAGAGAATGAAATAGAAGAGTAAACTTCTAAATGGATGAATAGACATGCTTCAAGGAAAGAACAGATAACATACAAGTACATTAGAAAAATAAAAGTAGAGTTTTAGTTAGAGGAGAATTGCTACACGTATTATTATTCATAGTTCATGTTGAACATTCAACTGGTGAAGACTAATCAACATTAGCAACACACCTTTCATATCTTCTTTTCTCATTATGATTTCAAAAAGAACTTCCTGAAACATACAAAACTGGCCTGATATAGTTGATAAAATTTAAACATACAAGAAACATGATGAGGCACACATAATCAATTTTAAGTTATCAAACCCAACAAGAAAACTTAAGAATTTAAAAAAAAAGAAAAAGCCACAAACTTAACTTTGCAAGGAAATTATAACAGAGGAGCCATGAATTTTTTTTTAAATAGATAAAGTTCCATTTGAGGAAAGATTATACAATACACACAATCTTCTATGAAAAAAGAAACACACGTGTAAGTTGGTGAAAGAGAATTGTCGAAACTTCTCTTAAAGAAAAGTGAGATGTTTCATCAATAAAAAAAAACTTTAAAAACAGAGAAGACCCTAAAGAAGAAGAATCAGGTGACAAAGAAAATTGTAAACCAGTTGTACACTAACCCTAGATTTTCAACAATAAAAGTATTAACTAGTTTTAAAAGACCATAGGTGGGCACATCTCTTTCAAACAATGTCTGAAAAGTCCATTCTGACAAAGAAGGAAGAGTCTTACTAAATCAAGATAATGAGGTGAGAAAGTGGTTAGCCACATTAAATATGTTTAAAAAATCCTGGAAATCCCACCAATTAGATGACTGTGAGCTCTTATACAAAACATGAAAAGGGATGCTGAAACTATGAGTAGCAGGTCGTGTGACAGTATAAAAAATGAAGCTTCATTAATTAATTGTATTTCTTTTTAAATTTTAGCACCATCTAGTGCCCAATAATGCTTTTCAGAGAATACGTGGACAAGCACACTAAGAACTTGCTGGGAAACAAGAACACATACATATGGTGGACTTAACATTTTTAAATATGCAGAGCAGCATAATATTTATAATTGAATTACACAGTTTAGAATTAGCAGGCAAACAATGGAGTTTATAATCAGCTGCCAATTTTCAGATAAAAAAATAAATGAAGATAAATTAACACTTCTAATTTATCCTTTATCTGCATTTTTCGGCTCACGTCTTTCAAAACAATTACCCAATAATTGACACTACAGGAAAATACAACTTTTAAGTCACAATAAAAATAGCTAACAAATAGAAATATATACATATATATATCTGAAAAATACTTTGTGATTTTGAAAGATACTTGCCACTAGACTACTGCATAAAGTTTTATAAAAGACAGAATAAAAACTAAGTTATGCTTCAAGGTAATTTTAAAGTTTTGTTTCATATTATTATAAACAATACAAATCTTTTCAGATTTTATCAAAGACATTTGTACAAGGAATTACTTGAAACTAAACGACAAAGAATGGCAAAACATGTGTATTTTAAGTGAAATAATAGGTGTAGAATAGATAGTAAATGTTTTTTTTTAATTTTACCCAATCCTGTGCTAGATTACTTCCACAATTAGAACATCTGGACAGAAGATCAAATGACATTCACTGACCAGTTCCTATATTGCCTTAAGTACACATAGTTTACATGGCAATTATTGACCAGTTCCTTCATCATTTTAAGTACATGTAGTTCACATGGCAATTATTGACCAGTTCCTTCATCATTTTAAGTACATGTAGTTCACGTGGCTATCACTGACAAATTCTTTTATCATCTTAAGTACATGTATGAAAATGTTTTAACTGGATAATAACCAACATAAAATTTCTTCCTTTTATTACAAAAATAATTAAATTCAAGTTTGGACAGTAAAAACAGTTCATTCTTTCTAGTAACTAAATATTCAGTAATTTGTCACTCCAAGAAAAGGATGAAATCTAGATAAAAGTTCAGTTTAAATGCCTTTTGGGGAGGTTTAGTTGAACTAAAAACAAAAATCAGGGCTTATGCCCTAGTACTGTATAAAAATCTTAATAACAGACAAGTAATACATTACAGGTAACGGTTTAAACATCTGGACATACAGGTACATGTATAATTGGACAGAAATATAAGAAATCTTCTATATGTGAAAACTGGATAAAACCCAACTGTTAAAATATAGCTGCTGAAAAAATTTACATTTCTTTTTTCTCATAAATACTTGCAATAAAAAGAGGTTTAGTATTCCATTGTTTCACCAATTATTTTTGGCCAAAAACATTGTGTAACTGGAAAGCAAATACTTAAAAGAAATACAAATTTGGTTTCTTTGCTTACTAAACAAATGTATAAATCATTATTCGAGTACTAAAAGCTTGTGAAGTCATATAAATGAAGTTCCAAAACAATTGAGGCCCTATGAAATAGTCCTTCAAGATTTGAGTGTGTACTATAGGCTAGTGATGTTCTGCATGTACTAAAACCCATTAAAGAGGTGTATCAAGATTTCTACATTTAGTAAAGGACAAAAAAATTGTGCTTCAAGGTTTACGTGTGTATTAAAAGTCAGTAAAGAAGTGATCCAAATTTGATGCATGTATTAAAAAGACCAGAAAAGCTGTACTTCAAAATTTCTGTGTATACTAATAGCATAGCTTGTGTGTAGTAATGTCAGTGAAGAAGTGATCCAAAGTTGATGCATGTATTAAAAAGGCCAGAAAAGCTGTACCTCAAAATTTCTGTGTATACTAAAGGCCTAGCTTGTGTGAAGTAAATGTCAGTGAAGAAAGTACTGAGGAACCTACTTAGGGTTAAATGTTTCACGATACCTAAAATTACTAAAATTCTATACAGTAGCGAATCAGGTATTCTATATGTAACAAAGCTCAATAAAGTTGTATTAAGATATCTAAAGCTACAAAAGATCAGTGAGGTCATGTATCAAGATATCTACAGGTATTAAAGATCAGTGAAGTCATGTATCAAGATATCTACAGGTATTAAAGATCAGTGAAGTTGTGCATCAAGATTTCTACAGGTATTAAAGATCAGTGAAGTTGTGCATCAAGATTTCTACAGGTATTAAAGATCAGTGAAGTTGTGCATCAAGATTTCTACAGGTATTAAAGATCAGTTGCATCATGTATCAAGATATCTACAGATACTAAGGATCAGTGAATTCATATAACAAGATATCTAAAGGTATTAAAGATCAGTGAAGTCATGTATCAAGATATCTAAAGGTACTAAAGATCAATGAAGTCATGTATCAAGATATCTAAAGATACTAAAGACCAATGAAGTAACATATCTAGATATCTAAAGGTATTAAAGATCAATGAAGTCATGTATTAAGATATCTACAAGTTCACAACATCAACGAAGTTGTGTATCGAGATATCTAAAGCTACTGAAGATTAGTAGAGTCATGTATCAAGATATCTAAAAGTACTAAAGATCAATGAAAACATGTATCAAGATATCTAAAGATACTAAAGACCAATGAAGTCACATATCTAGATATATAAAGGTATAAAGATCAATGAAGTCATGTATTAAGATATCTACAGGTACTAACGATCAATTATGTCACGTATCAATATTTTTTCATGTATAAGTATAAAAGCCTTGTAAAATTGTGTATGTTAAGGCTCCTTGAAGTTACATATCAATTTCTATATGTTGTATAGAAGGTGAAACCAGGAGTTTTTAGTGTTTGGTCTACATCCTCAATTCTAGTTCTTTTCTATAGTTATTCCTTTGCTAAAAGGAAATTACTAGAGACAAAGATTAATGAGAACTTAAAATATATTCAATTAAAATTGACCTTCAAAGACTAGTTAAGATTTACTTGTAAATCAAAATAAAGCTTATAATATTCAAAACATTTTCAAATAAAGTAAAAATGTGTGCATAACAGATATAAAAAAAAATTTTAGTAGTACACGCAACAAGAGAAACTTAATAAACCTAGCAGCATCCAGGTAAAAACTGCTTAGTCATCATCAGAGGTTAAATGTTAACAATGTTCTAAGAGTGTGCAACAAAAATAGAGGCCAACTCAGACATCTGAGGTTAGATGTTAACAATGTTCTATAAGTGTGCAACAAAAATAGGGGCCAACTCAGACATCTGAGGCTAGATGTTAACAATGTTTTAAGAGTGTGCAACAAAAATAGAGGCCAACTCAGACATCTGAGGTTAGATGTTAACAATGTTTTAAGAGTGTGCAACAAAAATAGAGGCCAACTCGGTCACTTTAGGATAGAGGTTAACAGTGTTCTAAGAGTATAAAGATCTTTATAAATATGAAAACAGCCTCAGAGAAATTTCTAGTATCTATATTATCACTAAGATCTAACAATTGGCTGTGTTTTCAATAACTTTTAAATGTTTCTTACAAATATCTAAGACATTTATTAAATAATTTACGATCCTAGTGGATTAATATTATGACAAAGTATCATAAAAATGTGATTGAAAATTAAACTTACATTCAGTACAAATGATACAAAGTGTGTATCAACACTCAAAATCAAAAAGTATAAATAATATATATATATATCTTTACTAATCAGTTCCAAATCTGGAGATCATTTTATCCACTGCAGCCCAGTCAATATTTGTTACAGGAGTGTAAGAGCTTTGACGATGACCATGGGTACTCTTGGATTGATCAGAAAAACTTCCTATGCTTGCATCATCAATTTCACTCTCCTCCTATGAATTACAGAATGAATTGAACATGAACATTGATAATCCACTGAACTTTCTTGATCAACAAAAGCAGCTTTCTTACAACTAAAGTAAATAATGCTGAGAGTTGCATTTTACCATCTTTATCACTCTTAATTCTGATAGATTATTTGTTAAAATATTTACTTCAGAACTTGCCAAATTATAAACTGTAGTCATGGAATTTGCTGAAGTTTGTAGGTGAGATCAACTTTTGGTAAACTAAGGAAGTTTGTATAAAGTTTTAATCATCATCTTCTGATGTACAATATTGAGTAATCATCATCCTCTGATGTACAGTATTGAGTAATCATCATCCTCTACAATACTGAGCAAACTTTATACATTATTTAATTCATTACAAGTTACAGCTCTCACACTAAGTAAAATTTGTTTTTAAAACAGGTACTACGTTTTAATCATTGGTGCAATCATTCTCAAGTACACAAGTTTTAACAGTAAAGGAACGTTTTAGTATTTAAATCAACATATAACAATCTAAAAATGTATTTAAATTCTAGAATTGATGATGGTTACTTATGGTGGTTGTTTTTATCTGTTTAGCCATAAATAAATATTCTGTTAATTCATGCGGATTGATATGTACATGTATAAGTAACCACTATCATTTAAAAGCTATAACTTGTAATAAAATATACTAATCAGTTAGTAAACTAAAAACAAAACTATTAAAAGTATTATCTAATTATCTTAATACTGACTCACATTATGCTTCTTTAAATTACACCCAATCTGAGATTGTGACAGAGCAGATTCCAAGGACTACTGTATAATTATTTCTCTTGTAATGTCAATGAATAGCAATATTGGTGTTCCCCGTTATTTTAACTGCTTACAAGTGACCATATGTGTATACCATTTATATGATTAGATGGTTTCTCTTGGTTAGAATAGTATTTTGATTGTGTCAAGGGGGAACTGTATTTATCTTTTTTACACGTAAGTTCTCTAAAAGGATATTATTTTTAAAGTGTTTACAACTGTATCTTTTCGCTGCCATGTGACATATAGTAATGCTAATGATACAGAATGTCTGCAGAGTTCTTGCTACAAATTAATTTGTGTCCTTTGCATTCTGCACAGACTTCCCAGAATGTAGTGCATTAAGATTATAAGACAAAAACTCGTGTTTGATACCCAGAATTAATAACTTAAACTTAAATATTAAAGAAGTTAAAGAAATTTGTTTTCAGTTTTCAACTTGAATAATTTGAGTTTCTTGCCAGCAATGCAACAACAATTATACAAGTAGGAATAAACTATGCCAAAGCTTTCAAGAACAAGTCAAACTTAAGTTTTTTACCATAATTCCATAGGCAAGTTATATAAAGTATAATGTTCTGTATCGAGCTCTTTTAACAAGCAACTCATATTGCCCATTTGTTTTAATTTGTTTGTTTGTTGTTATTTACACCATGGACTATTTGAGTGGTGCTCACCCTGAGAGTTGAAACCCATTTTTAGTAGTGGGAGCCCTCTGACTTACCACTGAGTCACTGGGGGGAAACTGTTTTAGTAAAGCAAAAAGTGCATTTCTTTATGACCAATGGAAGTTAAGGTTTAGCTTGGTTTGAAGGAAACAGGAAGTGGAAGATATCTACTAATCCTGGAAGGTATGTTGAGTTACTTGCAACAAGAATGATGTAAGAAAAACATGTAGGTTCAAGAAGTCTTGATAGAAATGAATAAAAACCCTATAACCCCAGTGCTTTCAAAAGGTGGACCTTTCTTCTTCAGGGGCAAACTGAGAAACACAAATAAGGGTTTTACACAGGTTTCTTTCATAATACTACTCATTCTCATGCTAATTTTAAATGTTTTTATGTTCAATTTTTGTTAGTCATTTCCTATTTTTAGTAAGCCTCAGTAAACTTTAGTTTTTTGTTTTAAATTTCATGAAAAGCTATATTCCTGATTTAGCAGTGACACACTAGAGGGAAGTCAGCTAGTCGACATCACCCATTGCCAACACTCTAGCGAATCTTTTACCAATGAATAGTAGGATTGACCATCATATTATAATGCTCCCATGGCTGAATGGGTGATCACATTCAGTGACATAGAATTGAACTCATGACCCACAGATTGCAAGTTAAATGCTCTAACCACCATGCTATACTAGGCCCAATAAAATTTAATAAAATTCCATTCTGAAAGTAATAGTATTTTGACTTACGTCTAATGCATTGTATCACTATGAATAAACTGTTTTGTTTTTTTTCACTATTTTTGACTTGTCCATCTCTTTCAATACTTTCACTCAAAAAAAAATCTATATGTTCAAAAGTTGTCAATTTTCTTCCTAGTGCATGGTCCACTGGGGGAGGGGAGGTGCACAATATTTTTATAAGCACATAAACAGACTGAAAATATATATGATCATTTTCAAGCCTATGTTATTAACAATAATATTTTGTGTTTTAAAATTATGAAAAATATCCATACATTCTGCACAAAATTCTTCTTTGACCAGATTTGGTCACATGAACTTACCTGTTGAGAACCAGAATTACTGTAGATGATGTTGTGAATAGCATCTGGGACAGACCATGAACTCAGGGTTTCACTAGAATCTGACTCATCTACACCCGTCACTTTAATCTCTTCATACGGACTCTGATAAGGCTTATACCGTGAAATGGAAGGTTTTTGTCGAGGAGTGGTGGTTATCTTTCTGTCATGGATATCTAATTAAAGAGGAAAAAAATATGTTAATATCTAAACAATGAAATTACAACTACATGCACATACCTGTAAAAAAATGAAATTACAGATACATTTAGTAATACCAAGAGAAAATCAGTTTATCCTACTAATTTATTTAGTATTTTTTATTTTCTTTCACAAATCAAATATTGTATTGGGAAAAGAAGACAAGAATATGTGCATTGCAAATGTATAAGAAGACAGAAAAAAATACTAACTGCAGAACAACTCTTTTGAGTCAATAAGACTTACTTGATTGTTGTGGCCTATTTGGTGGGTGCTGGGAGTAATTTCCTAAGGTATGGCTTTGCTGCTTAATTCTCTGAGAAAAAGGCTTAACAAGGTAAGGCTCTGGTGTTTTAGAATTCCTCAACTTCTGCCGATCAAGCTCTGCCTCTAAAACTTTGAGTGGCAGTCGTTTTGTTCCTTCAGGTAAAAACTGGTTGTCAGTGAAAACTACAAAGAAATATACTGAAAAAATATTTAGCTTAAACACACTAGATCAATCATGTTAACTCTCAAATTGCCCAACCTACTATTCACTGCTGGTGAGGCCCACATATAACATCACAATGAGTAATTTTACAGTTTTGTCTGTTACAACAGTCAGAGTACAGAACCGACCAAAACAATTTGGTGAAATCACTCCTTTTCTATGTAGGATACACAAGAATCCCCAGCACTAACTGACAGGATTAATTGCAATATTAACAGTATTTTTGAATATTTTTGTGTGCTCATAAGCTCTTAAAGCCCCTGTAAACAACAAAGTTATGGATCCAGTAGAAATTTGATGCATAAATACTTAAGAACAATTTGTTTTAAAAACCCAACAGATTGTGGATTCCATTGAAAATTCTAGGTATAAAATTTCTCCTCAGCATCTTGGGTTTTCTAAAAATTCAAAAGCAACGTCTTAGTTTAAATCCTACTTTCACAACTAACAGTGACACATGCCTAAACAAGAGATAATTTTACCACAGTGTAAACACACACACACACACACACATACTGTTGGTTATAACATTTAAAGTTAGTTAAATGTACTTTAATCCACAGAAGTGGACAATAAACTTTTACAACTAGTACAGCTGGTAATGCCTGGAAGTTGTAACATCTCTTGGTTATTTTATAATGGAATGACCAACAGTGACATGAATTTTGCATACACTCTGGTAGACTGTTTTTATAATGAGTAGTTCTCTCAGCCTTACACAACTTTATGGGCAGTTAATATTCTTTAATTTTTGGCAACAATAGTGAGATTGATGTGCCCTATCCTTTCTTCAAGGTTACTTCCATTAACATTATTGATTACTGTATTTATTATAACTAATTTTTATTATTATAAAGAATATTTAACATGGCTAACTTTACTGATTTATTCCTAACCTATGTCTACTAAGCTGGCCAAGCCAAATATAATTCTTAGTACGGTGTGGTAGTCCTCACTTAGATATCAGCACAAAGAGGTGATACTTTTATCCCAGTATGGACACACAGAGTTAGAAAAGAATATTTGATATATCTACGTTTTATTATTTCTAATTTAATCAAATTTTATGTTTGTTATTTTACTATAAGGATTATGCTGCATTATTAGTTAATATTAGTTACATATACTTACATACTAGTATCATCTACTGTTCCTGCAATCTTACAAAATATTAAGTTAAAATTTCTGTAAAATACCACTTTCAGTTTTATTTTCAGATTTAAAATAAACTGTTTTTATATATTTGCAAATTAACAGATGCATCCACTCAAGTAACAAATTTCACCTTTAATTTCTTAATTATATTATTGGAACTTTCACTATAACAAAGTTATCTCTTAAAATAAGTCAGACTGAAGTAAAAAAAAGCATGTGACTTACCATAAATTTTCTGTAGAGAATGAATTCTCTTTGGATCAATTCCTTTCACATGCATCTCATCTAGAGCTTGTAAGTATGGTCTTTTTAAAGGAAAAAGCTTGGAATGGGGACCAAACCTGTGAATATCATGACGCTGTTCTTGGATATTTTCTGAATTATTTTCATAGTCAGAAAAGACTATAGTCGTGGTGCTTCCAAAAGATATCTTTTTCTCGTTTGGCTTTAGAGTTACTGTACTACCCAATGGGATGTCAGGGACAGTAAATGTCGCTCCCAGATCTAGTGGACTCACATCTGGAACAGAAAACGTTCTCTCATGTATATTCTGTTCATATTCTTCATTGATTTGAGAAAGAATTTCATCTTCATCTTCCTGAATATCAGACAGAGCTCTACTGTAATTGAAGAACAGGTCAGAAGCTGAGCTCTTGATGTTATTATTTACTGATGTTACTGAATCTTGAACTGACTCCTGTGGTGTTCTCATTGATAGAGAAGGTGACATGGTGAGATCCTTCAAAAGTTCTGCTGCTTGCTCCTTTCTCAATTGATAATGTTGTAGATAACGTTCATTTCTTGCAGCTTTTTTCTCTTGCTGGACTTGTGTAATGTTTTTCAAAATTGTCTGTTCCAAAAGAGTTAAGTAATCTTGCTTCAAAATGAAATCATTAAATACAATTATACGAAATAGAACAATAAGTACAAAAAATATGGTAGATGCTAGTTTCTCAGACTGAGTTAACTTGTTGACATGACTGACACAAAGAAAGATTTCATCATTATAATTTATTTTCATCACTGCTGTTAATGGGCTTCATTAAGTAGTTAACATAAAGCAGAATACATCCAAGAGTCAATGTCAAAAGTAAAAATATAATAAATATATTACATAACATTTAATTTTCATTAAGTTTTTAATCCAATTTTCAGCATTTTAACCATCATAAGGAAGATTAAAATTAGTATATTCATTCAAAAGTTTTAATGAAATCTTAACAGAACAGCTAATTACACTTATATGCATGATATAAAAGAATACTCAAAACATACGAGAATGATCAACTTTCATTAAAAAATATATCAAAGCATATTACTTACTTGTTAATTTTTCATTTCATTAACTCACCTGTTATGAATTCATTATGGTAAGCATGTGAAATACATTTTAATCAGTTACAAGTTCACTATGTACTTCAATCTGTCACTAGTTCACTATGGTATACGATACAATAAACTTTAATCTGTCACAAGTTCACTATGGTATACACATGTACAATGTACTTCAATCTGTCACAAGTTCACTATGGTATATATGTACAATGTACTTCAGTGTGTCACAAGTTCACTATGTTAAACGTGTACTACACTTCAATCTGTCACTAGTTCACTATGGTATATGATACAATACACTTTAATCTGTTACAAGTTCACTGTGGTATACACATGTACAATGTACTACAATCTGTCACAAGTTCACTATGGTATATATGTACAATGTACTTCAATCTGTTACAAGTTCACTATGGTATATATATATATGTACAGTGTACTTCAAACTGTTACAAGTTCACTATGATATATATGTACAATGTACTTCAAACTGTTACAAATTCACTATGGTATACGATATAATACATTTTAATCTGTTACAAGTTCACTATGGTATAAATATATTATGGGTAGAACACTTTCTGCTTCAAATCAGTTTATTTCAAGCATTAAAGAAATGAGGTTCAATCACTCACATGAGATTTAGCTCTTGCATATACAGACTCACGGTTTTCAGTAGTCTGGAGGTGTCTGTTTATAATCAGACCCTTGAGGTCTTGATAAGATTCAGACTCAGTCAGCTGAGCCTGACTTAAGAATCCACTTGACATCTGATCAGCCTTTTCTGAGACAGAAATGCCTGAAGATGCTTCATCATTAACTAAAGCTTGAGAACATGTTCTTTGAATGTCAGATTTTGATCCTTCTCCTCTTTTCTGATCATCCTCATGCTTTAAATTATGAAGATCAGAACTCCTGGAAAAAACAACAACAAAGATTTAACTAATCGTTTGGAAGAGTTATATTAGAATTTGGAAAAACTTAGACCATTTTGGCATTAACAAGTCTCAATGCCTTAAACATGTTTTTCTCTTTCCACAAATGCTTACGCTGAATTAGTACATGGAACTTTTAACATTAATAATGTTAATTATTGAATTACAAAGATGTCCCTGCATGACACCTGTAATAAACATGAATATAGATCCATGACAAATCAATATCAACATTTACAGTATGAGAAGTTACAGTGCACATGTTGATGTATCAGCAGTTGTGGCTTAAATTATAGTGGGTGGATCAAATTTAAGATCATTTTAATTCTTTTACACTTAAAGAGTCTCATTTTCCATCCACACTATAAACTTTTGTAGATCTTATTCATTTCATTACTACTCAACTAATTCTTACTTATTTAAACAACATTATGCTATTTTAACAAATATAAACAAACTTTTATTCAGTAGAACAACTTATTCCATTTCAGCTTCTTCAGTAATAAGTAATGATGCAGGGATAATGTCAGTGTTTTAGGGATAAGTAATGATGCAGGGATAATGTCAGCTTCTTCAGTAATAAGTAATGATGCAGGGATAATGTCAGTGTTTCATGGATAAGTAATGATGCAGGGATAATGTCAGTGTTTCAGGGATAAGTAATGATGCAGGGATAATGTCAGTGTTTCAGGAATAAGTAAAGATGTAGGGATAATGTCAGAGTTTCAGGGATAAATAATGATGTAGGGATAACATCAGAGTTTCAGGGATAAATAATGATGTAGGAATAACTTCAGTGTTTCAGGGATAAGTAATGAAGCAGGGATAACATTAGTGATTCAGGGATAAGTAAAGATGTAGGGATAATGTCAGAGTTTCAGAGATAAATAATGATGAAGGGATAACATCAGAGTTTCAGGGATAAATAATGATGTAGGGATAACTTCAGTGTTTCAGGGATAAGTAATGAAGCAGGGATAACATTAGTGATTCGGGAATAAGTAATGACATGGGGATAACTTCACTGTTTCAGGGATAAGTAATGACATGGGGATAACTTCACTGTTTCAGGGATAAGTAATGATGTAGGGATAACATCAGTGTTTCAGGGATAATGTCAGTGTTTCAGGGATAACATCATTGTTTCAAGGATAAGTAATGATGCAGGGATAACATCAGTGTTTCAGGGATAAT